GCAAAAAGATTGAACCAATAAAATGAAGACAAATATGATATAAGTCTTTCATGGATATCTCATTTATTAGACTCTTGAGTATCTCAATCTCTTTCTTTTTTTTCATGTTTTTAATATTATTCTAATGTAGGTATCTCATTAAGATACCGCTATTAGAGATGTTCTTCGTAAAGTTGCACCATTTATTCCAAATTATTGTTATCAATGATTTTTTATTTTTTGTAAACCGTTGGAATTCCGAACTTTTGGCTCATAATCTCTTCGGTATCCGGAGTCAGTCTTTAAATAATTTGATTTAAAGATTAACCCACAGTAACAAAAGGGATTTGAATCCGGGACACAAAGATATCAACTCACTTATATTATCACTGAGTTAATATAACTATTACAAAAATGTAAGATTCAATAGGTTAGTATTTACTATATATGCTTCGAATGGTGACTACGGATTGGGCAGTACGGGAAAAGCATGCGATGCGGTTCAACTGCGGTGTGTTTCGGTGAAACGCATGTTACGGAATGAAAGTGGTTGGTGCAGGACAATGTTTAAATGGCGACAATTACAAATAGAATGGTGTAATAGTTATTAAAATTTGACTAATTATTTTAACATTACAAAATTCATAAATAATTTTTTTAGTTAAAATGTGTAAATTGATAATATTTATATGTATACAATTTTTTTATTTTTTTGAAATTAAAAAAAAAAGTTAATAAAGGAACGCACTTAATCCACCTTGTTAACCGCATGTACTTGAACATATTGGAACACATGGTGTGGTTTGTCCAAAAGTGTAACTTTTTCATTTTCTAATTTTTTTTATTATATCTAAACGCACAAACCATTTGCATGTACTATTTGCATGTACTATTCGATGTGAATGGTAACATTATTTAGTCCCCTGAAAACTGCTCGTCAACGTAATTTGAATTTTTCTAGTATTAGCATTTCGGTTTTTTATTGGTTCCAGGATACGGTTGTATTTGTATAGTCAATGAACGAAGTGTGTTCGTGACAAATAAAAAACAAAAACTGCACCAAACTGTGCCAAACATAGTATATGTAAAGGTTAGAAGGAATAATGAGAGATCCTTTACTAAAAGATCTAATTGGAGTTCCAGAGAATTTGTTTCCCTTCCCATCTTTATTATTTTTTTTTCAACACATTCTTTTATAAATTATATTAAAACATTCCTAAGAGATTGTTTGGCTACAAGATCTTCTTTAACCTTGGTGGATCTAGGAATAAAGTTAAACTGAATAGAGATAAACGAAGCAACACAGATTGAGATATCATACAAGATCCCATGAATCGCTACAATTGGAGAGCCTTGGGTGATTGCTTGGATCAATTGCTGGGAATCAGACTTGAAGATGACTCTATTGTATCTCAAGGTTCTCGCCTGGAGTATTGTCGTCCTTAGCGCTAGAGCTTCTGCTACTAGGACTGATGGAACATATAGGGAGTTTGCAGAGAATTCTGAAACTTGATCGAGGCTAGTCTCAAAAGTCTAACCTCAAAAGTCTAGCCGAAACCTGCCGCTTTCGAATTGGCCATCAAGGCTGCATCTGTGTGACAGATGATTGGGTCGTCCAAGCCGGAACCAGGGAGCAGGGGCTCCACCGAGTGACTCGAAACCGTTGTCAAGGTGATCAGGTGAATACCGCGTATAGAGATGTTTAGGAAAAGTATTTCTTCGGATGTTATCCAATTGGTCTTCCGACCAGTATACTATTGATCACTTAATTGGTTGGTCTCCTTTTCTTGGATGGGTAATGAGTATACTGAGATGACGAAAGAAACAATATTTTTCATGGTATCTAATTAAATTGATCTAGCTGCCTCGTGTAATTTGTTAGATTTTGATGTGATGGTGTGTTGGTAGGATAAGCATGCTCTACACAAATGTTTTATCGGATAGACAAATATATATTCGCCCATCTTCCAGTCAAATATAATTATGACGTTATTCCACAGATCTATTCACATGAATAGTACAAGTTTGTTTTGAAAAAAGGGGAAGATAGCGAAGATTTTGATTCGACCAAAAAAAAAAAGGCGAAGATTTTGTAGTTTTGTCCAATGAAACGATTCCAAAATAGTAAATGTACATATCGTTACGAGATTAGCAAAGGTAAAATCATCCAAAATATAAAAAATCATGTTCATATTTCTTAAGCCAAAATATATATTATATTATTCTCACGTCAAAACAATCAACAATTTTTTTTTTTGGTAAACAAAACTTCCATGGTTCGCCGTATGATATGAGGGGATCAACGATATTATTGATGTTACTACATTACGAAATAAACTCGCAAGTTGCTAGATACAAAATGTATTCACCTATAATACGTGCTAAAATATATCTATCATGTTATTACCATTATATCACCCTTTTTTTACTCAATACCATTATATCATTTAATTATTTAGTTAGATAAGTTTGAATTCAAATAAAATAGGTACTATACTATAAGGTTTAAATGTTTTTTTCTTCATAGCTAAAACTTGATTGGAAGATGATATCAATTTTTTTGTTTAATAAAGATGATATCAATTCTATACAAATTAATGTAACGTCGATTTTGTAATATAATGATCAATTTCATGAAAATAGTAAGCGTGTCCAACTGAACTAGGAAAAGTTTAGACTTTAGAGAGGTAGAGACCCATTAAGCATTAAAGGAGTTTATAAAAGAGAAGGTTAAACATTAAAGGCATTGTATGAGTTTTTGAGGTCTTAAAGTTGTACATATGTCCTGCATTGTATGAGTTTTTGAGGTCCTAAAGTTGTACATATGTCCTTATTACAGTGGACAATGTAAAGGGTTGGATATGGATTGACGCAGGATATTTCAATTAATTATGATCAATCTGCCAATAATGACGTTGCGAATTGTCTCTGTATTTATTGCATATATGCGCGTTATTTTTTATTGAGTATATGATTTCAAATACAACTTCAAAAACAAATGTTTT